TTAACCGAAAACTTTTATTTATTATGTACCCCGCTCGTTACAGTAACATACGGTACTTCCCGGCCACAAACAAGTGCTTTCTTAACAAGATAAATTTGTGGTACATTAAATCTCTTCATTGGCACTGCAAGAACAATAAAAGAACAAGTGACTATGAACAAGCCATAATTAAAACTGTGAAAAAAGTTTTCCCGCAAGTGAAAATACTTTAAGAGGGCAATAATCAGAAAAAGAAAAGAACATGGTATAATGTTTATTTAACCTCGTTTTAATACAAAGAATTTACATTGGAGAGATTGTTGACAATTTACGACAAATTACCAGATTGTACAGCAGCAAAACAATTCGTGGCGTACTTTACCAGTCAATGGGTCCATAAGATAACAGCCGACATCTGGTGTTGTGCCCATTAGCGTCACAGAATAACAAATTCATTAGAGTTTGGCACAACAGGCTAAAACTGAAGGTAGAAGAAAAAGAAAAGCATTTTAAATAAAAACTAACAAAGGAGGCGAAAGGAAAGTAAAATCAAAACAAAATCAAAAACGTGAAGCCGCGGTTATGAATAAATCCCAGAAAATCGAATAGGAAATAAATAATCTGAGGTCATTAAAAAGTAGTATTGCAAAATATTTAAAAAAAATCTCATGGGTTAAATAAACTACTGACTAGGCAATGTTTTTTGTATTCTCGACTTTACATAACGGATTAGTCGTCTTAGTAATTTGACAAACGAAACACTTGACGAAAAGAGAATTTGGCTAAAATTTAATTTGATAAGAAGAGTATTTGACAGAGCAAGAACTAGATGAAAAGCAAAGTTACTTATGAAATAACTAGACGAATCCCGAAATTGAATATAGAATTAAACTTGTAATTAATACCTTTTAAAGGCTAAGTAAAAACAGTTCAATGTATCATGTTTTGATGCATAATGGTGTTTCTGATAATGCCTTCTTTAACTGTGCGTGTTAGACTTAGTACCCACGTGTTTGTCTTTTTGCGTGTTTGACTTTTTGTAGGTTTTCCCTTTATGTTGGTTTTGACTTTATGCTTGTTTGACCTTTAGCATATGCTCGTATTAGCGTATTAATTTTAATTGTATGGTCATTGAATAGTATACTGTCTTAATCATCATACAGTGAAACAAAAACAAGACTTCCAATAGTCCAATACTGCATCCAATCTCCAGTATTATTAAATAAAATATGTTGGAATACAAGTTACGCTTAATTTTAGATCAGAAATTACTGTACTCGTAATATAAAAATATCTCAGAACTTTTTTAGAACTAATTATATAATTTGTTTATTCGCTCAAAAACGGTACGAACTAAACAGCTCAGTTAAATAAGGATACATCGAAATGAGAAATAATAAGCTTGAAACTCGTATACACCTTTATTTTGGCATTCTAAAAGTTGTCTCGACTTTTTCATAAAGTCCTATGCCTACGCTATTATTGATTGTCACAAAAATCGCTTTTTTATTATCTCGGTTCTAATGCCCCAAAAATATTGAAATATAATGTAGAATATAGAATTTGTCATACATTTTATGAAATATTTTTTAGTGCATTCAACCGTTTTGCGAGTTCAGAGGACGAAGGACACGCAGCGATCAGCCTCACTATGTAACTGAGGATTTTTCAGCGAATCTCCGTTTATACTCGTAATACCACGTACAAAGATGTAAGAAGACATGGGCATGTTCGTAGTTGTAAGCATAGTTATACTATTGATGTAACCAAACATTTACGTCTAGCAAAAAAATGCGTCTAGCTAAATACATTGGGCTCCCAAAAAAAAACCTACAAATACTTAATTGTATAAAAATGTATTTGTTTTTCTTTTCAACAAAGTTGTATGCTGTTTTTTACTAAATAAAGTTTTCTTTTATATAAAGTCGATGAGTATCCATTGTACACAATCTGCCAATATTATTCTATCACACTTCATTGATGTAATAAACGGACGCTAGACACTATTTTTTGTATTAAACTATTACTACAACGTTTACGTACCCGTAAACGAGAGAACAAAAATGAGTTATCAAATAATTTTCTAGTTTATTTGATTTCCCTTCCGTTATAAACCTGAGTTAAACACATTCCTAGGGTTTGTCCGTGTGGTGACGGATTAAGAATCCGGATTGTCACCACCCCTAATCATCCCGTGGGTGTCGTAAAAGCCGACTAAGGGAGCAAACTACGCAGGACAACAATACTGTAAAGAGAAGGAAAACCTTTTTTTTTTTTTTTTTTTTTTAACGTGTGGAAATCCCCTCGGACCGTCACCCCTCCGGGGTTTGCGGCGGGGTGGTGTGTCGGACTCGGACCGACTAAAACCACACGGTGTGCCACTCTGCGCCTGTAACAGGAGGGATCCGGGAACAGCTGTTGTTAAGACATCCGGACCCCTCCTAGCGCCAGCCCGCTCCTGGTGCGGGCTCCGTCTCAATATAGATGTTCCTCTCTTTAGGCGACGTCCGGCACACGCGGACGCCGCCCCCTCGCGGCTGGCCAACTAATGCGGGTGGAGGGGAAACCCACCCCGTCCACCCGCGGCCACACTCAGGGCGGCATGAGGCTGTGGTAGGCGGGCCTCCGCCGCCCGGTTCGCCGGCGGCGGATCGGGTCCGAGTGGAGGTCGTCCTCCCGGGCCCTTTCCGCCGCCTCCTTCCGCGAGATTACTACCTCGCAGAAGGTTGCGACCGCGGTAAAACAACTGTCGCTACCGGCCATGGAGCGTACTACGGCCGGTAGCGAGAGATCCACTCCGATGACTGCAGTGAGGGCCCGGCGCTGCGCCGCCCATGCGGGGCAGACCGCCAGCGTGTGCTGGGCCGAGTCCTCACTGCAGTCGCAGTGGTGGCAGGCGGGACTCAGTTCCCTCCTAGCGACCGTGTGCAGGTACTTTCCGAAGCAACCGTGCCCGGAAAGCACCTGCGTCAGTCGGAAGGAAAGGGTCCCGTGCTGCCGCCCTGCCCACTCGGCGATGACCGGCTGGAGAGCCTCCACGGCGGCGAAGCCAGCGCGTGGAGTCTCCAGCCGGAACGACCAACGAGCCATCGTGGCTCGGCGAGCGGCTTCGCGCCACTCGCGCACATCCTCGGGCGGAGGGCGAAATCCGCTCTCCGCCCGGTAGTCAGCCACTCGCCGATAAACTTCGGCGAGCACTTCCGCCTCCAAATCCCACGGGGGAGTTCCGGCCAACGCGCATGCCACCTCCGTCGAAACGGTGCGGTAACCGCGTATGGCTCTGACCGCCATTACCCTCTGAGGGCGCCAGAGGCGTACCCTATTCTGGGCGGTCAGAGCCGCCGCCCACACCGGTGCACCGTACAGTGCCATTGACCGGACAACCCCCGTGTACAGCCGTCTTGTCGCGACGCTGGGTCCACCCATGTTGGGCAAAAGTCGCCCTAGGGCAGACGCAGCGCCGACCAGCTTTGGAGCAAGCTGTCGGAAGTGCTCGTCGAAGAGCCACCTCCCGTCGAGGATCAGGCCCAGATATTTCATCTGGGCCCGAACCGGTACGAGGACCGAGTTGACCACTATTGAGGCGCCAGGGGGTGGACCACGACGGGGCCCATGGAATAACAGGGCCTCCGTCTTATCTAGGGCCACCCGTAAGCCCAGCGCCTCAATGCGCCCGACCACCAGGGAGACTCCCCCTGTGGCCAGGCGCGCCGCCTCTTGGAAGTTTGCCCCCCGGGCTGTCACGAGGGTATCGTCTGCGTAACAGATTACACCCAGCCCGGGGGGGAAATCGGCGCGAAGGGCCCAGTCGTACCCTATGTTCCACAAGAGGGGTCCAAGAACAGACCCCTGTGGAACACCGCACGACATGGGCCGACACCTCAGAAAGAGAAGGAAAACCTGACACAACCCTATAACAACCCGTCTGGCCAGCATGGTTTGGTAGGCCAAAACCTCCCTTCTAAGGAGAGGCTTATATCCAGCAGTGGACTGTTAAAGGCGAAAATCGTGTGCCAATCAATTTATGTGAGGTGCTTTCCCCTCACATAAATTGATTGGCACACGACTGCAATAGTAATACCGCGTTCATCATTATCCCGGGATTTATGAATCGACGAGACATCATTACTTTAATTATTAAAAAGCTTCTCAAATAACCGGGCTGAGCCGGAACTCGGAAACTGTGAGCCGACGGACGGACTGTTTATTTTAAATAATAAATTTGTGAATTTAAAACCAACATTATTTGTCGGTATGGAAACTTCAGTGCACATGTGATTCTATAATAATAATAATATTGTACCACATTCACACAACGCCATCTAGTCCCAAACTAAGCAGAGCTTGTACTATGAGTACTAGACAACTGATATAAATACATATATACTTTTTTTTTGTAAATACATACTTATTATACATAGAAACACCCAGACCAAATCAAACATCAAATGTTCATGCACACAAATGTTTAACTTGAGCGGGAATCGAACCCGCGACCTTTGGAATAGCAGTCCGTTACACAAACCACTCCGCCATCCGGTCGTCTATAAATAGGTATATTATGATATGAAAACATAAACGAAGAAAAAAAAGTTCAAAGTTGTAATTTTAACTAAAAATCAATTATACCGCTCACTACATTTACATTTTCTGTTAGTTTTGTCTTTTGACTCTTTCGCTCACGAGCAAAGCAAACACTAGCCGTGAATGTTACCATTTTGAAAGTTAATTATTCGAAATAGCTTATTCCAAGCAACCTTTTGTTCATTGCGCAGTAAACTTTATCGCTTTTTTTTAGTTTTTCGAGATAACCTTAATACATTAGTTGCAAAATTATTAGTGCATGAACAAAATTGACATCTGTTTTAATACAGTTAAGGCACTAATTCGTTTTTAATCTTTACATTTTGAAATGAGTCACAAGGTTCATCTTGGAACTCACAACTTTAAATAATAAGAAAAAAATTGTTTTAACGGAGTATAATTTAGACTTCAAACATTTCACTTGCTAAATCTTGTTTTTACACTTTTAAATTTTCGGCCATCTTCAGCAGTATATTTCTTAGTAGGTTGGCAAGCACGGGATAGTTTTGTCCTAGCAACGGGGCTCGGAGTTGCGGAACACAAACCTGAAAATAAAAGGTATTAAACAATTACAAAAGAATTTTTTTGTTTTCATTTTATTAATTATGAAAAAAAGTATGATGTTTTCGTAAATTTAAAGTGTTCCCGACTTTTAGTCCTGATTTTTTATTATTCACGCAATGAATTTGAACTTTTCATAGTAAATAGAGGCATCTCCGGCTCTAAGTAAATCTAGTTTTTTTTTATTATTATTATGTAGGAAATGGTAGCCATATATAATAAAATAATTACTTGAATTACTGTTGAATCGGCCAAATAGGATCTTCATGCATCGTCTAAAAACCGCTTATTGGCAACAACACGTGGGTAAATAGAAAGCCTAATCTACGTAAGAATAATTTTAAATGATAAATCACCGTTCACCCACAGTTCACTGTGATTTTGTATCATCTATAGAGAGGACGGTTTGGTAACTTTCTCTACCAGCTTCGAAGGTTGATCAACAAAACAGTCACATGGGTTCAATGGCATATTAAATTACAGCTTACCACAGCAAGTATAACGACCATCAGCGGACAGATTAAGTTGAGGATCAACGCAAGAACCGTTCGGACAAGCCACCACAGGCCAATTACAACCAACACACTTGCTAACATAACCTGCAAAAAAATATAAAATGAAATATACAAAGAAGCACTTGCACATTCATGTAAAATATTTAAAACTAAATTGAAAATACCAACACGTAATATTAATATTGACAACATTTGTCGTGGGCTCACAACCATTTCAAATCTTCACAACTATTTATGTATGTAAACGGCGTAGCAGGTGCAGATTGCGCTATAAATATTTACACGAAACTAGTTGCAGCCGATGTTGCAAGTTGGTGTAATTTGAATGGCGTAGCGTACTCGTTAATAGACGTAACACGTGTACGGTTGTACAATCTTGGCCTAACTTTACTGGTAACATTATAATTAAAAATATAACTCAAATTTATTCTTGTTACAGAATATGAAACTGATGCTATAAGACTGATCTCAATTAGACATAATTACATTAAGAATACAGTGTCTCCATCCGTAGTCATCCCAAGGGTATCGTAAAAGCCGACTGAGGGAGCAAACTATGCTGAACAACAGCACCATAAAGGGAAGGAAAACTTGAAACAAACCCTATTCCAATCGGTCTAGCCAGCGTGGTATAGTAGGCCGAAACCTCCTTCCTAAGGAGAGGCCTATGTCCAGCAGTGGTCTATTGAAGGCTGTTGATGTGATGTGACATACGAGTAGTACACGACACCGACTTCTGCGACAGCATGCAGTCTTAGTTCCATCCTTATCCAAGACTTAATCTCTTTTCGTTTACCCAATTCACCAACATCCTTTACCTCTTCTTGAACACAGTTGTATTCCCAAGGAAGATCAGAATCAAACTGAAACTAGCCTAACTACCTTGAAATATCACACTACGCCGACCTCAAAAAATGTAGGAAAAACATGATAATAATGTACATGTACAAGGCTTACAAGATCATCAACACCCTTTAATAGTCCACTTCTGAACATAGGCTTCTTAAAAATGAGGTTTTGGCCTACTACTAGGATAACACGTTTTCCTCCTCTTTGTAGTGCTGTTGTCCTACGTAGTAGACACCCATGGGATGAATAGGGGTGATGACATTCTGTATTCTTAATCCGTCACCACACAACACTTACACGATCAAAGACCAAAAATTCTCCACTCTATACACTTTTTTCTGAATGAAAGGAAAATTAGAAAACAAAAAAGGGAAACCTTTACTTGAGCATCTTCATGTGTCCGAAGCCAAGTCCTCGCTACATCCATAACAGTTCTTTCCCGTACGCTTTGTGTGGGGGCAACATTGAACTAGAAAAGATTTAAGAATTAAAATAGGCGTTACTAATCACAATTAATTGATACGACTGAGATAAGTAATATTGCAGAGTAACATGTAGCATTTTCTCAAATATTTGAAATAGTGTACATACAGAGTGGCCCCGGCGCCATAATAATTTTTGCTGTTTCTGCAACTGGTAATCTCTGTCCAAGTCATAGGCTATGTCGTCAAAAACTTGGCCGGCGTAATACAAAGTTGTGTGTAAACTTCTTTGGACGCGTACGCGTTCGTCTGTAAACAAAAGTTGACTTCGTGAGTCAGTTTGCAGACTTTAAAGAAACTCTGCAATATCACTATCTTTGCACGTGCTAATTACAGCAATAGCATGTTATTTTAATATTGTTACTGAGTTAGCAATAACAATGTGCTCTTATTATAGATACTTGGTTCTACCTAATGTATATTGGACACCACCATTTAAGGAAATTACCACTTTTAAATTACTTTACATTTATCTTCTCCACTATATCTATACTCGCCATCGTGATACAGTATGCCAGTGTCTTAAGTTTGAGATGAATTAAATCGAATGAAGACATTAACAGTTAATGGTTATGCAGACTTGCATCATAATAACGGCATCGTCGGCTACAATAATAATATCATGCTTTGCCTAATGTAAAATTGAGACAAAAATATGACGAAAAATATGACGGAGTGAGACAAGGGGACGTTATTTCCCCGAAATTGTTCACAAATGCAATGGAGGACATGTTCAAGACGCTGCACTGGAAAGGGCGTGGTATCAATGGCGAATACATCTCTCACTTGCGATTTGCAGACGACATCGTCATCATGGCAGAGACGTTGCAGGACCTACAGCAAATGCTGAATGACCTAGCTGACACTTCTGTACGCATCGGCCTACGGATGAACTTGGATAAAACCAAGGTCATGTTCAACGAACATGTACTACCGGAACTGATTGCGGTACACGGTGCCGTTCTCGAAGTTGTTCAAAATTATGTGTACCTCGGGCAAACATTGCAGTTAGGTAGAAACAACTTCGAGGACGAGGTGAACAGAAGAATTCAGTTGGGTTGGGTAGCGTTTGGGAAGCTACGTCGAGTCTTCTCATAGTGGATCCCACAGTGCCTTAAGACGAAAGTCTTTAATGAGTGCGTCCTACCCGTCATGACATACGGAGCTGAAACGTGGACACTTACGGTACGGCTGGTCCACAAGTTCAAAGTCGCTCAACGTGCTATGGAAAGGACTATGCTCGGCGTTTCTCTAAGGGATCGCATCAGAAATGAGGTGATCCGGCAGAGAACCAAGGTCGCCGACATAGCTTACCGGATCAGCAAGCTGAAGTGGCAGTGGGCTGGCCATATTAGCCGCAGAACTGACAACCGTTGGGGAAAACGAGTTCTTGAGTGGAGACCGCGTCTCGGTAAACGTAGTGTAGGACGCCCACAGGCCAGGTGGAGTGACGATTTGCGCAAGATGGCTGGCAGGAGCTGGATGCGAGAACCCCAAAATCGATCTAAGTGGCGTGCAATGGGAGAGGCCTATGTCCAGCAGTGGACTGCGATAGGCTGATGATGTACGTAACTAATAAACTATAATGAAAACGCTATTTACCTAACAAACTTTCAGGGATTCCTAGTTTTTTTTTGCAAACTGGTAAGTGGACAACAGATTCAGTTTAGCTATAATTTTAGTTTTAGTAAATAATAGATTTCATTTAATTTGACCAATAACTTAATGGCCACTATAACTAATGTCCATTATAAGTCTGCACAACCGCAAGTTTATCAGAAACAAGCTGTAGTGCTTAATTTTCTCAAGCGCTCAAATTTTCGGCAATTGTGGCACAAAATAAAATGTGTCGCTTTCCTAACCTTAGCTGTCATTGGGATACCACAACTTCCTAATACACACAAAAACTAATAAAACGGGTCAGAAAAACACAAGGAACATTAGGACGGATAACATTCAGAATCCCTCTTTACTTAAAGTACAAAGGACCTCATTAACGCAGTTCCTCTCATGCAATATCCTCCTAAGTGACATTCACCATAATTTAAACGTGTAATGGGGGAAGATCTCTTAAAAGTTATGAGGACATTTTTATCCCTCACTTACAAAATATGTTTATAGTAAATGACAATCTTTATTTTGCGGTAAAGAATAATTTTCAATTTTTACATATCAAGTAACACAGATTTATATAAAGTCGAAAAATCTTTCACAAGAAGAAAAGAAAAGCCGCTTTCACAAGACATTAACTTGCCAGATGTACAAAGTACGGGGTTACTGTTTTTTATAAATCAGTCTTAAGTCTTACTTAAAACCCGCTCTTCCATTCCAGGAAGTTTTAGGAAAGAAGGCGATCTTTGTCTGAAGAAGACATGATTGCAGGTTTGTAGTAGTTAACTATCGGAATGCTCCAAAGCAAACCAATGTCTGGAGTTCTGGACTGCGACCTCCGTGCGCAAAAGGTGTATTTACCTACTGCGATGGCCGGACCCTGCACACGGCACTCCATACGCTGGCAGAATGCCCGGCGTGGGTTGAGCAGAGACGTGACCTCGTGGCTGCCATCGGATTGTGAATTATCTCGCTTAGTACCATGATTGCGGCCATGGTACGGATCCGGAGCGCATGGAACTCCGCCGTCTCGGTCCTTCTGTAAGCAAGTTATGCTTACGAAGGAGACGGCGGAGCAGGCCAGGAGAGATTTAGAACTCTCCCGGTCTGCCAGGCATGGGAATGGGCAAGGTAACGCAGAAGACTCAGACGCCGAAGGTCGCAGGACAACATCCGTCCTCCATAAGCGCAGGCCTGGGGGTGACAGGTGAGGTCATCTGTCACCCTAGCAGAAGCAAGCCACGCTGTGGAGCGCGCGCGCCCAGATTATAGAATGGGAACACCGTAGGTCCCGCACACGAGTGGATCAACTACTGGTTACATTTGATTCGATTTCCCAGTTAACTTCACCCAGATCCATTCTGTTATGGATTACAATCCATGCCACAGCAATTGATCAGATATTAGAGACATCTGACATGCTCATACTGAAATGAAAATGTAAACACACAATCTTCTACAAAAAACGGCATGCGATAGTTCCTCATACTTTACATACCTACGATCATTAAATATGCATCGTTATAATGAATCAGAACATACAATGAATGTTTCAGTGTATATACTGTATATAATACACGATGTTAATACATTTTAACGCAAAAACTACAATGCATAATGTCTGGAGTTTATTATTTTGTAGAACGGTGAATATTAACTGGGTACATAAATTAGCCGGTGGTACGTATTCCATACACAAGCTCGCGAAAGTGAATAGGACAAGTCGTGTGCAAGGTACTATATTTTTTTCTGGAATACGGGACAATAGGGCAGACGTGTCTCCTTATGGTAAGTGACTACCGCCACTTATGGACAGCGGCAATACAAGAGTCACAAGTACGTAGGCGCCCTTTGTGTGCTCATACAATTCATAGAATTGGGGGTTGGGGAGGGGTTAGCCCCGGTAACCTCACTCACTCAGTGAAAAGTAACTCGTATTCCACTGCTTGACGGAGGTTTTGGCCACGCTGGCCAGACGGGTTGGCATAGGGTTTGTGTCAAGAACAACTTAATAGCATTTTTCTGTGAGGCCGTGGTATCACATGGTTCTCCCACGCTATTACAACTCCTTGCTATTTCTTGAAAAAAAAACTTAAAACAAGTTTATGCATCGGCTGACTCAAATGCCTAAGACAAACAATCAATGTGGTGATACAAACAAAGGATAAGGTAGGTGTACTAAAAATCTCGCGTCTCCAGCATTTGATAGCTCAGTAGTGCTGCTTACCATATTTCACCGCCGAACACCCAAAAGGTCACTTCTCAAGTTTTACAATATTCTACTTTATTGCATCCGATATTACATTCGCTTTTCAAATATATCAAAGTTTGACTCTGAGCGGCACTTTAAAATAACTACAAGTATGTGCTACAGTATGCTCTAGAACATGTTCAACAAGTTAATTCTACTCACCAGTCCATGAATAGTGGGGTACCATCCTTGTAAGGCTTTATCGCCCATTTTAGTAAAACAACTACTTCTTGAAGGGCACTTCATGAATATTACTTCTAAACATGATTCGCGTAAAAATTGTATTTTTGTATAGTTTTATTTTATTTTAGATGATATTGCGCGTGTCATAATTTGGCTGTCGATTGCAGTTTCTATTTTTAAATTTTGACATTGCAGTTTGTTTTTTTTTAAGCATTGATATTTTTTTATTGATCTATGATTAATGAGTAAAGAGTATGCAAATCCTACGAGGATCTATGATCAGAGATTTTTTGTACAATGATTGAAGTATAACATAACACTTGTAAACGAAGTAGATTTTTTTTCGGTGAACATCAATTTTTGACCTTCGCGTCCTCAGGCGCTCTCTCTGGGGAGGACTAAAACAATGTGATTTCAGGTTCCCCACCAAATCGACACCGCGCTTAACCAGCCACTATCCCTAGGGAAGTCTGCTGTTTCCTTCCGTTTTACAGCCCAATCCCATCACTCGATCGAAGTTCAAATATCTCTTAAAATTATTTAACGCTCGTTTTGAAAATTTTCTCACAACGGTATTCATATTAGCGTATATTTTCATTAAATCAGGCATGTAAATTGAGTCTCACCTCAACAAGTACACCGAAGGATGCTGCGGTATGAATTTTTATCATCGTTTTTGTTGTGAAATCGATATTTTCAGAAATTCTGTGTTAGAATTATTCATCCAATCATTTTAAAATTTTGCATAAACATTGCCAGGAATACTGATAACGACATAGGAGACACACAGGTCTCAAACCCGTCCGGGGTGGGCAGAGACGACATACGCCATTTTCCACGATCCTGACATGGACGTTCTACAAGTAGTATGGTACATAAAAGTGTCAGGCATATTTTTATTTGCTTTTTTTTTTTTAAAGACAACTCCCGCATTAGGAATAAGTATATCCTGTGTCACGGGGGACCTTACAAACATACACGAAACGGACCCAAAGAACACCCAGACTCAGAATAACAATTTGTGGATCACACAGAGTGTAGTCCCATGTGGGGATGGGACCTACTGCACTTAGCGTAGTAGTAAGCGGCGTAGCGACCGCTTAAATTGCTACGCCATCAGTGCAATCGATACACGCCTTTTTTGCTCCTTGTACATAAAATGTACAAAGGGCGGCCTTATTGCTAAGAGCAATCTCTTCCAGGCAATCTCTACGATGGATCAAATGTTTCAGAGAGACAGTAGTAGTGGAAGGTGCAATGAGTTTTATCAGTTTAATTACTAATGAATATAAAAGAGGTAAAATTAGATAAATATTTACACATGAAACACAGAAATATACATACTAACAAATATACGTACATACATAACTAACTACATACATACAAAACTAATTCTGTTCCTTTTTTTTATCTAAGTGTATCAATAAGTTGAAATACTATATAGAAGTAGGCCAAAACCTCCTTTCTAAGGAGAGGCCTATGTCCAGCAGTGGACTAGTATAGGCTGTTGATGATGATGACTATGTATGTACAAGGTAAAAAGATCATAAAAAAAACTATGTACCTAACTAACCTAAAAGAGAATTATGTTGTATTAGAAAATTTGTACTTAATTTGGCGTTATTAAATATTAATATTATTATTATTAATAATTATACAGCGACGTACAGCGTCTCTTCCACGTTTATCAGGCCTTTCATATACGCTCTCCTGTTGAGGATGCTTTTAACGAAGGTCTACTTCAGAACATTGCCGATCTGAAGGCCAATTCTCGTAATAAAAGTTAGGTCTCAATTCAGTTCCGATCAACTTTCGATCTCACAACTGTCATAAAAGATATTTTCGTAGTAAATAATCAAACATCCACAAACATTGACTGTAATGTGATTATATCGTATTGTAACCCAAAATTTTAAATCCTTTTGTGACGCAGAGTCGGCAGATTATCCATATTGCAAAATAATACCGCGTGCTTGCTTGCTTGCATGCTTTCACGTCAGTCACTGTCGGCGGACAGCGACGCACTAGCTAATTGGTTGAATGCACCCCCGCCCCGCGTCCCCCAAACCATCAGGAGGGCCAAGCTTACGGCGGTTTAACTATAGAATAGTGTCGCATCTGTCATTTATTGAACTTTACAGGGCAGCCATTTCAAATAATCATGTTATTAATTGAAATGGCCGCCCTGGCTTTTGATATTTGAAATTATGTTTTTAATTATAAATCTGTAATTATGTAAATTGACATACAAGTGAAAAATAGGGTTTGTTTTAAATGCTATAAAAATAACAACTAATCATACAATTTTCAAGAAGAATCACATGCTTCATTTGACTTTGAGCGCCTATCAAACAAACACTGAATAATTTAAAATCTAAAATACAAATATTTTGTTCTTGAGTGTAGTTATAATATAAAACTGAATTTCATATTTTTCCAAAACCGACATTATTATTCTTCGATCATGACGAGTTCATCGGAACTGAATTGTCACCGAACTTTTATTACGAGAATTGGCCTTCTGTTCAGTGAATGTCTTTCGGCCGTCAACGCGTTTATGACCCCTGAGTAGCAGCGGCGATGGTAACTCTCCATCAGGTGACCCGTCTGCTCGTCTGTAACATAAAAAAATAATATAAGGGAAGCCACGAACAAAGCTGGTATACAATAAATACTAAGACTACTTCGACTGGTTTCTGACATGAGTTGTAAGTGCTGAAATTGATATTTTCCCGTGTTAGCCTTAGAGTGTACATTTTGTAGGATCGATCCATCACTATTCAGCAGAGTACTATATTCCTTTATTATCTGCAGGGCGACATAAGCTCTTTCGAGTAACGAGATCTAGGTCCTTTATAATTCCATCACACGTAATGTTGACCTTTTTTTTGTTGACGGAGTCGAAAATCCCTTCGGACTCCGGCTCCTTGAGGATATGGGAGCCAGGAGGATGTGGTAATTCCACTAAAAACCACCCCGACGGCCGGTCTCAGGTGTCCTACTCTGGGGAGGACCCGGACCATGTTATTTCAGGTCCTCACGTAATGTTGACTTAGGAAAGTCTATTTCAGCTTGTGAATTTCATGGAGAAAAAAATTGCTATGTTCTTGTAAATAGTTTACTTCGCCGAGTTCAACACAATTCAATTTAAGTATAGTAAACTATAATCTTAATTCCTTGATATTCCATCCTTAAGGGCTTTTTCTTCAAACTTAAATGGACCAAACGAGAAGTTTAGCCTCCGAATATTAATAGTTCACTGCTAGACATAGGCCTCTCTTAAGAAAGGAGGTTTTGGAATACTGTACCTCGCTAGCTGGTATAGGGTTTATTTCAAGTCTTTCTTTTCTTTGCAGTGCCGTTGTCTTGCGTAATTTACTCAATTCGACAATAACGGGATGAATAGGGGTGGTGACACTGTGTATTCTTAATGTGTCACCACACAGAAAAGAAAAAAAAAACAATATGGTTTGTTCTATATAAGTTGTGGACAAGTGGCTGTATGTCTATATTCTCTGTCTATGGTACTCTGTCGATAGTTCTGTAAAAAAGTTAGACAATGAAGTATTGTTTATGGGAAGCTTTGTGCAAGTTGTTTTATAAATCTTAAATTATCAATAAAATCCTTTATAAATATTTCATAGTGAGATAGAAAATGGTTCATGATTGACAAAGTTCTTTTGTTGAAAAAAAAAACAAAAAACAAACACCGAATTGAGAACTTTGTTCTTTTTGAAGTCGTTTAAAACGTATTAAAAAGAACACTTGTTTATCTCTTCGAAACGAGTACAGAAGCTGTTTATTTAAAGTCAAGTTCAAAGGGGTGAAAAGAGTATTTTTTGTAGATTACTTCAACGGCCGGAGAGTGCATTAAATTTTTTCATGATATTATGTTCTGACATACATTATGCACAGTAGGATGTCCATGACTTTGTTTAGTTAAAAATGGATTTTGATAGATATTTTAAACTTGATGTATACTAATTAATTTCTTTGTAAATATATAAATATTTATATTATAATTCGATCCCTTGGCGTTACGTAGAGATGTAGCTTCACTCTGCATTCTCTATCGCATATATCATGGCGAGTGCTCCGAGGAATTGTTCGGACTATTACAAGCCGCAACTTTCCGCCATCAAAATTTTCATCCTCATCACCTGAGATGGATGTGTGCTGTGACTCAGATGGACAAGGTTAGGAATGAGTATATACGAGGGAGTCTGAAAGTAGGGACACTGGATGAAAAGTTAAGAAGTAATAGGTAAGAAGTAATGTCATGCGGAGGGATGAGGAAAATGTGACCAAGAAAGTTTTAGGTATGAGAGTTGAAGGGTACAAGAGAAGAGGCAGACCGAAAAAGAGATGGATGGACTGCGTCAGGGAGGATATGGCTAGGAAGGGAGTAAACAGTGAGATGACGCATGACAGAGTAGAATGGAAAAATCATACATACTGCGCCGACCCCAAATAAAAATTGGGAAAAGGGTAGGCAGATGATGATGATCACCTGGATAGTTGGCGCTCCACTACTGTGCGCTTTTCAAGATACTTTTTGCATTGCACAACCAATCTGTAAAAAGGGTTATCGTCTGTGGTATTACCGGACCCTAACGACCTTCAAACCTTCAAGAAAAGAGCGTACTCCTTCCTAAAAGGTCGGCAACGCGTTTGTGACTCCTGAGTTGCAGACCTTCATGGACGGCGATGGTCACTTTCCATCAGGTGACCTGTATGCTCGTCTGCCCCCTCTAACATAAAAAAAAACGATAAAACTGAGTTCGTTTGTTTCTTACGCTTTTACGCCTAAACCACTAAACCGACTTTAAAAAATATATCACCAATGGAAAGCTACATTATCAGCGAGTACCGCGATAAACGACACATTCTAGTACTTATATATTGATTCCTAAAGAAAATTCTTTGTTATCCTCTTTTAAACAAATATATTGCTTGGAAATATATCCTATTTGAAACACAAAAAAATGTGGCAAAAAGCAGAAA